CACTTCATAAAGTGCTACAAAAATATGCAGGGGATTTTTTTTTCTGTCCCAAAGACAAAAACTTTTTTTGATGGAGGGCAGGGCTTGAATTACAGCTAAGGGGAGATTGTGCCAACTTAGTGTATATAAGAAGGAGAAATGGGATAACCAAAAATATGAGAGTTCACACCACTGACATTATTCTACCAGTGTTTGCACTTAGACACTCTTAAACTAAACTATAGGATCTCAGGGCTTTCCTATGGATTTCCATTAGTTGGCTGGCTCCCAGCCTGTATTGCCGTATGTGCCGTGACCCGTACCCTCTAATACATCAGTGAGAATGCTTTGGGATGTCAGTCATGGAAACATAACTAATAATGAGTTAAGCAGTAAACACACACATCATCTCCTACCACAAGAAGTGTACGGTTGCAGGGTTGGTTTTAGTTCAACAGCCCACCAATGCCATCAAGGACCCATGCCACTTCCCTTCCTGTGCTCTGCCATCCTCTGCATACTGGCTTTTCTTCTCCAAGCTGCTTTTCTCATAGTTAGCAAGTGGTTTCTGTACCTCTTTCCCCAAATCTCTTTCTGTCTCTCTCTCTATCATGGAGGACAACCTGGCCCAAATACCCTTTTCTCCCGACAGACTGCCCCTTAACTCTCCCTGTCTGACTGGGACACATGACAACCTCTAACGGTAAAGAAGGCTGGGAGACAGGTGGGCGTTTTCTGCCTCTACAGCTTGTGATGGGCCCAGGAAATGCAGCAGGGAAAGACTGTAGGGTAGACAAAGAATACTATGTGCCAAATTGTTTAAGCACTTCCTCTATACTTCTCATCTCTGTCCCTTCTCCCAAGTCCCTTCCAGCTCATAGTGATTGAATGGAAGAGGGCTATGCCTTCCTACACCCATGCGGTGGTCATCCACATGGTTCTAGGGAGATCCTGGGGACCACCACATGAACCATGCTTCCTGTAGTTGTACAGTGCACAACCTCCTTAACCAGCAGCTGTCTGGACTGTTTCTCACTCATCCTAGACTCATCTCTTACCTCACTCTTCACCCTCTTGCTTTGTATTTCCTAGTTTGTTAGCTTTCATTCATTCATTGGTGAACACTTATTGGTCACCTAATACATGCCAAGATAAACATCAGTTGATAATGGGACGGAGAGTGACAAAAACATGAAAAAAGTATGTCTTCTTCCTCCAGAAGCGACGTCTCAGGGATAGAGACCAATATGTGAGCCAGAATTCGTAGTACCGTGTGACAAGGACCATCACAGAGTGTGTCACCCAGTCCTGAAGAATACTGGGGAAGGTGTGGCCAAAGTAGAGAAAGGCTTGCAGACGAGGTGACAATGGAATTGGGTCATGATGTCCAAATGGTATGTTCCAGGCAGAGATATGGAGGAGACTGCCATGTTGCCAAGGAAAAGGCTCTACACACCAGGGAATGGTGCAAGGGGCTGACCAAGAAGATAGGCTATAAGCTAGAATAACGCATTGGATTTTATGCTGTGGAACATAGAAAGCCATGAGAGTTGGGGGCAGAGTTGGCTAAACAGTGAGTCAGAGTATAGGCTTTCAACTCAGGCAGAGGTGGGTCCAAATCCTGACTCCACCATATCCCGCTGCCCAGTCTTGGACAAGTCGCACCACCGGGCTGCCAGCTTCCTGGATGATGAATGGGGGAAAAGAGTCCTTGCCCATGAGGGTAGCTGTGAGGGTTACATAAGGCAGTGTAGATCGGGGGCCTTGCACAGACTCTGGCACGTGGTGTGTGCTCAGGACAGTGTGACTTGTTTCCATTCTGACCGCCTCGTTGTAGCATGAGGCAAACACACAGAAGTCGGCCCACGGCTTGAGGCAAAATGTGTGGCCGTAGGTGGCTCAGATGAGCTGCCCGGTCAGCAGTGGGGGGCCCGCAGTCAGGGCCCCTGTGGGCAGGGAGCGCACGGGAAGGACATCACACTTGAACCGGACCATGAAGAGTGAGTAGAAAGCAGGGGAGAGAACCGCAGACGGTAGAGCTAGGAATGCACCCAGCAGGCGCAGCTGGTTTATGCGGCCCTGTGTGGCTGGTTGGGCAGTAGGGGGGTCTCCTGGGGTGAGGGGATGGAAGAAATCAGGCTTGGGGGTCTAGGGCCTTTGATTTGTTGACTTGGCCCACCTTAATTCTCCTATTATTCCCCTGTTTGGGCACCTTTCCTTTCTCTAAGAGTCAAGGCTCCTCTCCAGTGGGGGTAGGGTGGGTTGAACATGTGTCACACTAAGGGACCTGGCAGTTCTCAGCAAAGTGAGTTCCCAGTTGGGGTGGGGCGGTGGTATTTGCTCCAGCGGGAACACCTGCTTTCGGGCCCAACCACCTCGGATGGCGTCAGGCTGCCCCTCCCACCTCCTCTTCCCAAGCCTGATGTCACCACCTTTGAGCTGTGTCACCCCCCTCCCCAATCCCTATAGAATGCCCTCCAGAGGGGAGTCCCTGGAGTGTCCCTGACTCCAGCTGGCCCTTGTGTGGAAAGCCAGTGCCCACAACGGCCACTCTCAGGTCTCCCGAGTCCTGGCCCGAGATGATGAATGGCCTAGCGGCACCTGTGTGTTAAGCTTAGTTCTCTGCCCAGATAGATTCTTCTTTCCAGATAAAACAAATGCAGGCCCTCCTTGGGCTGTGCTCGGGTCCCTGCCCACAACTCCCTAAAGGAGTTGATAAGCTGGTGGGGGCAGGGATGGCTGTACCTTCAGGGGCCCTTGTAAACAGTGTAAAGTCACCTTGCTGTGTGGACTAATGACGCTGCTGCAAGCCAAGTGGAGGCCGATGGCATCGCGCCAATGCAGGAGCCGCTGTCCCTATGGCAGGGAGGGAACCGTCAGGCCTTCACCTACCCAGGCCTGTATTTCCCATGTGACCCCTCACTCAGCCGTGTCTCAGACTGAGTGTCTGACCTCCCGAACTTTCCGTTGCCTCCTCTGTAGGAGGGGATGTCATGGATGAATTGTGTCTCTCTCTTCCAGCCCCGCCCCACCCCCCCCACCCCCCACCCCCGCCGTCATCAAAGGATGTTGAAATCCTCATCCCCAGCACCTGTGAATGGGAATTTACTTGGAAATAAGGACTTTACTGATGATAACTTAAAAAGAGGTCATTAAGATATCGGCCCTAATCCAACAGGGCCTGGCTCTGGAAGCTCCTGAAAACAAAGACCTGTGTTCTCCCAAGATGATGACCAGCATTTCAAGGGAGTCCTGTGTGATCCGAGGGGTGCCCACTGGCTATCAGCTGGTCCCCTGCAGACTCCCAGGGCCACTTACAGGGAGCAGACACCAAAGCTTCATTCAGTTGGGATAATTGTGACTGAAACTCTGGAATAGTACAGAGATCACCTGGAGGGAAAATGTCAACACTGAGGTCCCGCCTTGCTTTCTAAGGAGGGTGCCTTCTAGGAGAAGGGGCTTGGTTCAACCCATTCGCTGAGCACTTGCCTCAGACTAGACACTGTGACTCTAGGAGAGGCGGCAGCTGTGGAGAAGACCCATGTGTGATTTCTGTCAGAAGTCGGGGAGGGTCAGCTGGAGAATTTGAGGAGAAAGCAAATAATGAAGGGAAGTCCCCAGTTTACCTCAGAAGTAAAAAGTTTTCCCCCTAACAGGAGCCTGGCAGTGACTGTCCGCTGCAGTGACTACCGCCCCAGTCATGGCCTGGGACTACTCCGGAGCCTGAAGCCCCAGCCCCAATTCTCTACCTTCCCAAGGACACCCTCAGAAAATGGACATGCCAGAGTATCTTAGTCCAAAGTACTCAGGTGGGTGCCTTAGGCATCACACATTCATGCACTCATTCATTCATTCACTCATTCATTCATTCAATAAGTCATTCTGTTCATACTCAGCAAGGTCTTACTTTGTGTCTGGCCCCATGGCAGCACTTGGGGAATAGTGGCAAATAAGACAAACACATAGTCTTTCCCCTCTTGGAGCTTATCTTCCAATGGCAGGCTCCTGGTGGGCATGTTTGAGGTTCTACATATTCAATAGGCTTTGACTTCAACAGCTTGGATACCGTCCATCCTATTTCTGTTAACTTGGAGAGGATAAGGGATCAGATCTGACATGAAGAGGAAATTCAACTTCATTTTCCAAAAAATGGGGATCAGGAAGTATGTCTTCCTTACCATTCAGCAAAGGACTTGTCCCATGACCCCTCTAGAAGGGGGAGCCTGACCTGAAATTTCACCTACATCAGTGTGTCCAAGTAAGCAGATCACCCAGGCAGATGACCCTCATGTGACCAAAGCAAGTGAGTCGGCCTGTGGCAGGATAGAAGTCTTTCCGGTGACCAGGAATTCACCTGGTTCATTGTCAGACAGCCCACACTTCTGTCACCATGACTCCCCCATCTTCTGGAAATCTTGCCCCGTGGCCCTGCTCCCAGAGTTGGGCTTGCCTGCCCCAGAGAGGCCACCCCACCTTGGCAGGACTCTGGCAGAACTTTGTTTCTTAAGAGACCCTTCTGGATCTCAAAGAGTGGGGTTCATTTTCCCAAAGAGAAACTTTTTTCAATGTCTTCTTCTAGGAAATCTTTCTGGAAAAAACAGACACTAACGCCCCCCAAGGCCTTTCAACCTTGGCCAATTCTTCTTTCAGGAATGTCGTTAGCTGGCCTTTTAAAAACCCATTATGTGCTGCAACTTGGCCCACTGGGTCCTGCCCATCAGGCACAGGTGACTCCTGACTCTGTCCCAACCCTCACCTGCACATCGTCCCTCACCCTCGGGGGGGCCTCCTGCAGGTCCCCCAAGAAGCCAGTCTGGCCCCTGAGCTAGGAAAACTCTATCTGTTCCCTGTCTCCCTCCTGATTTGGCAGCAGGAACGGAAACTTTCGTGGAAAGCACTTGCACTGACGAAAGCTCCCAAGTCGGGACTTTGACTCCGGCCCTGTCAGGGCCCCGGGCTCAGGATGGGGCCTCTCCTTCCCCAGGGTCAGGACCTGCCACCGGGCTCCTCCCCTTGCTCTCCCTGCCTGACCATCATTCCTCAGCTCCCCCGTGACCCCAAGGGAGTCCTCCACCCCTAGAGAAGTAACTTTCACACTTTCCCCCTTTGTGTGTCCTCCCCCATTTTTGCCTCCCTTTACTGTATATTTTCCTTCCCCGCTTTCCAGTGCCCATCAGTGGCTGCGGAGTCTGCATGGGGCTCGGCAGAGCTGAACGCCCAGAGCTTTTGGCTGTTTTGTTTAAGACCTGGTTCTGGTTGTGGGATTTTTTTTTTTTTTTTTTTTTGTCAGCTGCCTGTTATATCAATCACGGAGTCGGGATCTATTTATAGGTTGGGAGTACTGTGTCCTTAGTCACAAAGAGACACAGACAGGGGACTGTCAGCTGGTGCTGGAGGAGCTGAGCACCGAGTCATCAGCAAGTGGAAACACCTGAGGGGTAGCCTGTCCCCCGCCAGCCCCTGTCCTCAACCCGGCCCCAAGCATGTAAGTACCGCAACTTCTCCCTTCTCTCTGCCCCAGCGCCGCCCCGCACCGTCCTGTCCTTTCCCCTACACACCCCCCTTCCCTCGCTCCTTCTCCCTCTCTCTCTCTTTTTATGGATAAAAATATCTCCCCGTGCCTGCTCTTTCATTCTGGTTTTCGGCGCTGGAAAGCATCTCTGTGAGGCCGGAGGTCGGGGGTGGGGGTGGGGGGAGGAGTGTTGCCTTTCGCAGACTGTCGTGGGAAGGTCAGAGGGACCTGGAGGGACCCGGAAAGGCTGAGTGGGACTGTTACCCAAACTCACTCAGAATCCATAGGTTCCCTTTTATTTTTATTTGTTTTTGCCAAGGAAAAGTAAGTAAATCAAAAGGGCAAGGGAAAGTTTACATGCGGCTCGGCGGGGTGGTTATGTCTCCCAGCGTGAAAACTTTTATTTGCTGGCAGCTCCAAGTGTTGGGGGAGCTGAGAAGGTTACAGAGGGAAGACCCAGTTCACCCAGGACAGGTGATGATGGAGGGTTCCCGGCAGGTTCAGGGGGACTCAGAGCAGTCCCGGCCAGTTTTTCTAGAGCTCCTCCAATGAAAAGGACTTTTGTTCTTTCTCTTCTTTCTTTCTTTCTTTTTTTTTTTTTTTTTTACTCCCCAGAGTGAGTTTGCTTGGAAGAGTCCAGAGGCAAGCTCATGATCTGTCTTGCTTTACAGGGCTTTGGTTGGCTCCCACATTGGGTGTATTTTCTTCATCCTGAAAGGGGCGCTTGGTGGGGGTGGGGAGGAGGAGGTGTGCCCTGCTGGTGGGCCCAGTGCTCCAGGTCCTTCCCTGAAAGGGAGAAACTTAGTATCACCATTCTTGTCAAAGCGCTGCTTGTTTCAGACATTGGGAGTGCACTCTCTGTGAGCCTATCCATGGCTCCTAGAGGTGACAGTCCCCAGACACTGTCAGGTGTCCACAGGGCCCACCAGCCACAAGCTTCCTGTACAAGGTTTGGGACTTTAGTATTTGGATAATGCAGAGTATTAACTGAAAATCCTGCAGGTGCGGTTTGCCATATATTGTTTACAAAGGAGTAGTAGCCCTAAATTGGGGGGGAAGGGGGATGTGATGATGTTTAATGTATATTATGTACAACTTTTAAAATGAGTGGTCCAATAATGTCTGGACTTCTACTTATTAATACAGTGGTTATCATATACCTTATTGCTACTTTTAGATTTGTTTGGGAGAACAATATTCTAACAAGAAAAAATAACCTTTCCGATAATTTAAAAACATAAAAAAAAACCAGATGGCTCTGGATTATTTTTGATTAAAAGCAAAATAGTTTTAACAACAAATGTAACTTGGTGAAAGTTTAATAATATGGACAAACATATGTTTAGAGAGACTATTTGATCTCGTTTTACTTCGGGCCTTTCTGAAACTTCTTCTTTTGGTTCTTTACCCTCCACTGTATTTTATTTGAGGTTATTACTGTCTGTAATCCATTCAGGCATTATTGTGGAGGGCGGAATGAGGATCAGGAAGGAATAAGATATTCAGAAGGACAACTTCACATGTTCAGGGAGTTAAGACCACATGTATTGGTGGGAAAATTCAGAATAAGGAGTTTGCTGTAAGGTGGGGGGCGGGGGGGGGCTTGTCACTATTTAAAACCTAGTGTGGACAGTAAAGCCCAGGAATCAAGAAAAAAATAAACAGGAGTTGAACGTAACCCTATGGATAGCATGATCACTTTTCTCTATTCCAAGGCCTCCATTTTGATAAACATATCCTCCTAAGGTTCCCCACAATAATGCCGAAGTGGGTAGTTGTTAATTAAGGCTCAAGCAAATCAAGCAATTGAGACGTTGCATTCAGAAATCACATCAGTCAGCTGTTTGCGCAGCTGAACTTCTAGCCGAGGACTCTCAGATCTCAAAGGCTTTTTAGAGAAAAGTGTGACATTTTTTAATCTTTTAATGCACGAGCAAACCATTCCCTCCCTCCTCAACGTGCACACTGCAGCCCGCTGGCCCAGGATTGCATGAAGTAGGAGAGAGTCCCGCATTTCTGAACCGAGTGCTCTGTTCTCATTAGCAGGAGCCGGTGAGCAAGAATGTTTGTTGAGCGTTTAGGCAAGAACCACTCCTTGCTTTGGCTACTTGTGGATGCTTTTAGGGGGGATAGAGGCTTTGTTTGGCAGTGTGATGGCCGGCCTAGATTTCACCCTCAAGTTCAAGCTATGGTTTTTCCCTTTGGTCTTCATTCTGGAAATGCAGTTGGGGGCAAACTTCAATGCATTTGCCTAAGGCAGCCTCTGATTACTTAGTTTCTGCTTCAGTGACGATTAATTTTATGTGGACCGAGCTCCCGTCAAACTCATTTTTTTTTTCCACACTGATTTCTTAAATGCAATTGGTCACGGGGCTGTCGGTGACTTCATGTCTGCAAAATCTAACCCATTCCATCTTTGTCGTTGTTTTATTTCTCTGGATGTAAACGCACAGTCGCCTGTGTGCACGCGCTGTTTTATGTGTCCGCCCCCCGCTTGAGCACATGGAAACCCAGCCCGACCTCCTCTCCCAAATTGGGGACAGTGGGGCCACTGAGCAGGTGCTTTGGAATACAGCAGGCTCAGGTGCAGGACCATCAATCTCCAGGAAGAAGGAATTGCAAATACCCGGAAAGCGCTCCCCTAATTCAAACAATTTCACATGGCTAAGGCCTTTCCAAATACCCTGTAAATAAAAGATGGCAGCTGGCAGGATTTTTAAACCAAAGACCATGCACTGCTCTTTCTCCCCATCCCTTCATTTCTACAGTGTATCTGTCCATCTTTTTCTTATCTCTATTTTTACATTTCATTACCCTCCTGCTCTCCCTCTCCCTCCCTCCTCCCTTCCCTCCCCCTTCTCGCCTTCCCTGAAAAACACATTTCTATCTGGCACAGAAAATAAACTCAGATTGTGGGTAGTTATGTTAATCTAATTCAATCCTCAGCGGGTTAAGAGTGAAATTCTAATAGTGGAGCTGTTGAGGGCTTTTTTGTTAATGGCTTGGGGATTACATTGAGTTAAAGGCTCATTTCCTAATCAAACAGAGAGGGAGAGAGTGACTCCGAATATTTATGAGTCTCCCAGTGAGAGTTTAAACATTCAACTCCAAAAGCAGGGTTTCTGCAGGAGGAAAGAGTTAAAACCCCTCAGGGCTGCTGGGGAAAAAAAAATTAAACCAGTTAAGCCATCAGCATTTTCAGGCTGCTGTACAACTTCAGCAAAGTGGAAGATGGGGAGAGAGGGGGGAATAGGTCCACAAAGCGAGAATGGAAACTGTGGCAGGAGCTCTGAAGCCAGAGTCAGCTGATGTGTTCAGGAAAAAAAAGTCCCCAGCAGCCCAGCGGACGTGGATCCTCCGTTCGCAAGGGTCTGGAGGGGATGTGTGCCTCCAACTCCCCAAATCAATTCTCCTCCTCCTGTCCAGAGGTGAGAACGCAGACAGGAGTATGGCTCAATTTTCCAGCAACTGGAGAGTTCCCGGCTGCCTGGTGGAGAAAAGGATTCTCCCCCACTTCCATCTGTCTCCCATCCTGGAGCAAATTCATATCTCCACCACGCCCCTCTTTTCCCCTCTGCTCTGTCATGGGGTCTAAGACCCTGGTCCCCCAGCCCTGCTTTCTGTACACGAGGACCTCAATGCCCAACTGGTTCGCTGTGCCCAGGAGAAAGCAAGTGGAGATCTCCCTGATCTGCGGCCAGAGGAGGCGAGGAACAACCTGGCCAAGGTCAAGCAATGTCAAGGCAAAGCTGAGGTCAGGAGTCTAAGTGCTCCACGCACATTCTGGCCGCTCTCTCCCCTGGTTCTCTGGGGTACAGTGGAGGAGAGGAGAAAGATCCAGATGGCTGCCCAAACGTACCCTGGCTCTCCTGGAGTGTGGTCTCCTGCTTGGGAAGCAAAGGCAGGAATCCCTCATACAGGAGGATTCCAAATGCTCTGTGGACACTTGCCTTTCTTTTCTGCCACCAACCAAGGGAGCAGTTTCTTGTCCTTTCACTTGGGCCCATTTTCCTGCTTCGTGAGATCAGCAGAGGCTCCAGACAGCTGACTTTCTACCATTGGAGACGGCTGGCTTTTTTTTTTTCCCCTTTTCCCGGGGCAGTGTTCTTTCTCTTAGTGCTTCATGCTCGGTGGCCTGTGAGTACCCTTGCACTTGCCCTTCCTCCTGTCAAGATGGCATTTATAGGGGCGCCTGGGTGGCTCAGTCGGTTCAATGTCTGCCTTCGGCTCAGGTCATGATCCCAGGGTCCTGGAATCGAGCCCCATGTCAGGGTCCCTGCTTGGCAGGAAGCCTGCTTCTCCCTCCCCCTCTGCCTGCCACTCCCCCTGCTTGTGCTCTCTCTCTCTCTCTGTCAAATAAATAAAGAAAATCTTTCAAAAATAAATGATGGCATTTATAGCAAAACTACAACAGCTTTGCTGTGAAGCCTTCCTTATGTGGTTGGCATCCCCCTCGTTTTGGAGCCCCCGACAGATCTCCCTCCAGTATTGCATTCGTCCCTAGGGCATGATTGTTTCTGGGTCTTCCTGTTGCACCAGACACTCCCCAAGGGCAGGGACAATGTTGCATTCCCTCTTGTATGTGCAGCTCCTCATTGACGGTTCCTGCCCCTTCCCTATCACGTGCCTCTCATGGATGGTCAAGAACACACACTCTGAGCAGGCGGCCCAGCTTTGAACCCTGGCACCACCTCTTCTAAGCTCTAAGACTTGAGCTAATTAATGCCTTCGGGCCTTAGTTTTCCCATCTGCTAACTGGGCATCATTATAGAGCTTACCTCACAGGGTTGTCATACCCCTAAAGACAGTCTATGTCCTCATCAGCTTGGGCTGCTATGACCAAGTACCATAGTCAGGGGCCTAAACAACAGAAATGTATTTCTCACAGTTCTGGAGCCTAGAAGTTCAGGATCAGGTGCTGGTACGCTCAGGTCCAGAGAGAACCTATTTATGTGCCAGAGGCTGCATTTCTC